AGTGAAATCTCTTCTTGCTCTTTCTAACAAAACAAATTATTTTGTGATATCAATGATAGCATGCTCTTTTTATGATTTCAAGTTATGAAAACCAGTTGTTACCTGCAGTAAATGGATTTATAGTTCGATCAACAGTGTAGCCAGGGACAGCAGTACATATGCTAATTTTTATATCTTGTGTATGATATGACCCCCCCTTAAATTAGGTCTTCAAAAGTTGCATGATATGCGAGTATATACAGTATATTATTTATCCAAAATGATTTGCAAATGTACCTGTTTATACTGAGGAAATGCAAATGTTGTTTTATCTGATGTGATTAAAGCTTTTCTGTATATTTTACATAAAATAAATAATTGTTAAGCTCATGGGATGTCTGGGCTAAATTTAATTTGACCTTTTTAAGGGAAAACAAAGTGAATATCTAAGCCAAAAATCAATTTCTTGGGAAAATAGAAAATGTGCATACAGATTATAATAATCAAAAGACAATTCACTGAAAAATGCCACACTCAGTATCTGCCACGGCCTATATCAAACTCAGAATTTGTCTCATATGGGCCTTCATGGTGTACCTAGGGAGAACCTTAAATACCTCTTTAATCCTGTTGATCAGCTGGGCCTTGGTGTTATAGGCAGTGTGGTTGGTGTCTTTCTTAACTATGCACCACACATAATAATCCATGAGATTACAATCAGGGGAGTTATTACACATATGGTCTTTTAGCAGCCACCCTCTCCAACCAAGGCTTGACCACGGTGTTCAGCAACTCCACAGCCATTCAAATTGAGCCTGAGACACTGTTCAAAGCTGCAAGGTCGCATGACATTACCTTCACTTCAGACACACCCAAAAACCATCACAGTTTGGGGAAACTTGGTCTTTGTGGCACAAGGAATGTTATATGGATTGTAGGCAAGCTGTGGTGTATCTGGTCCTGACAAAAATTCTTTTCATTAGAGAAGAATTGTATTGTCTCTGGTTCAACAGGATATTTCACCTTGTTCAGAAATTTCTTTATCTTTGTCAGATGGTTTTCTTAAGCCTTTTTTGAAAGAAGTTGACCTTTACATGTATGATTAGTAGTGGAGATTCTTCTTTAAGGCCAGATTTATGGTGGAAATTGCAACATCAACTTTCCCACACCAAAGCATGCATTCCTTTGCCAGAGTCTTCTCTCATTTTCTCCTGCAGTTGTTGAATGAATTCTGTTGTACAGAGGCAATCAAAATGACTGCTGTGTTCTTTCCTACAAGCCACAGCATCATAGCTCTGTTGCAGCTCTCCATTTCACATCTTGTTTACACAGTGTTCAAAGAGCATTGAACAGCAGTCATGATTGCAGTATTTTGATGCTCAGTACAAATGATTATGATGCAGGCTACCCTTTTCTAATATTCTGTTAGCTTCCACTTGTCCATATCAGTTAGCTTTGACACTTCTAAAACTGTAGTGACTAGGTGTCTCACTGCAGTTCACTGTTTACAAATATTCCAAACCAATCAGAAAAAATAAAAACATTACTTTGTCATATTTAACCTGGACACCCTGTAGTTTAGTTTGATAAAAAAAAAAAAAAATGGCCATAAAGCAACAAAAATGAGATTCCCAATGAAGGTAGAAAATCCTGTTGTTGGAAATTCTGTTCTGTAGTTCCTGTTTTTTTAGTCTTCTACCTCTTTGGTAAAGTACTAGACGCTATAATTAACATTGAATTGGTTAAGTGTCTCAACTTACAGGACCTTCTTTCAGACAAGAAATTTGGTTTTCATTTCTCTGGGTCAACTGCTGATATGTTAACAGTTATTGTTGAAAGTGCCTATCAAGCTTTAGATAAGGGTTGTGAAGCTGAAGTTGTTGCCTTAGAGCTCTCAAAAGTATTTGACAGGGTTTGGTATACTGTTCTTCCCAAGTTAAAGCGTTATTTTGCTTCTGGATGAACTTTTCTTTTGATTCAATTGTTTTTATCAAATCACTAAATGAAAGTTGTCTTGAATGACCACTCTTTTAGATCTTTTTACATTAATGTGGATCCCCACTCATGAGCTCTATCCTTGAATATGTTTTATTTCTAATTATCATTGACTTTTTTCCTGATGTCATCAGTTTTTGACTTTGCATCTATACTGACACTAACTATTTACTCCTGTCTTAATGGTAAGTCTGATAGGTTCAATAAGATCAAATTGCCAGATGATCTCAAAAAATGACCTTCATTCTGTTGTTAACTGGGGTAAGAAGTGGCTTTTAATTTTAATGCATCCAAAACAAAACTTCTCTCTTTTAATTATATTTGAGAACATTTTTTTTTTTGCTTTCTATTAGCATATGGCTCATGATAACCCCCAGAGTGTAATTTATTGTACCTTCTTGAGCTAATGTTTTTTTTACTGACATATAAGTGATTATATAGAATCAATTGCTAGGCCAGCTGCTTGGTTCACTATGTCATGCTAGACAATTTTTCTCACTGGAATCTATCTTGCATATTTATAAGTTTACCATTTGTCCATGCATTAACTATTCCTGTCACATCTGGCTTGGTGCTTCTGCTATCTAACAGATTCTTAACAGAATCCAAAGAATTCACAATGTCGTCGGTCCTGACCTGGCATGGCATCAGTCACTTTCCCACCACCATAACATAACTTTCCTGTGCTTTTATAAATATTATCAGGGTAATTCTTCTGATGTGCACTTCAACTTCATGAATTTAAACATAATACTAGTTGGCACTAGGTCTCATCATTTTACTGTTGAAACTGTAAAAACTGAAATTTTTTTCTCTATTGGTTTTGTTTTTGTTTTTTTCTTCCAAACTTCTCGTTTGTGGCACTCTTTTACAGTTTCTTGCTTTCCTATCAACTATAATCTTCAAAAACTTAAATACAATGTCAATTGTTATCTTCTGTCTTTTTGAATCCTGTTCTCTCTCTCAACATTTTTCTGTTTCTTTTAAACTCTATAATCTTGAATTAATGCTGCACCTAAACAAAAATAATTTTTCTTTTAAATAACCGAAACTTGAAAAAGTAAATATTCTTTTTATGAGACTTAAATTTTGTTTTTACAAAATTCATGTAATTCTTAAAATTTTATAGCTTTCAAAACAGATTTTCATCTTTTATTTACTTAAAAAACAAACTTTTATTTGACATTTCCTGAAAAAAAGCTTTTTTCACACAAAAGTTTGTATTAAAATATTTAATTTCCATCAAAAATTGTATTTATTTTTATTTTACTAATATTTTTCTTTGGCATAATTGAACTTTTCTGTGTTAAATAATTATGGCATTTAAGATATTTTAGACTTTTTTTCTCATTTATTCCTCCTCAGAGTGAAACAAATGTTTTACAAGTAGAAGTGTATAAAAAAAGTTAATGATTATTTTTATCCCATTTTTATATTGTGTGATTAAAAACTATAGTTTTTTTTCCACTTTTAACATGATTTGTTTTAATATTTTTAAAATAAAACTAGTAAAATTTCATCTAATAAATAACTGAAAAAATCAATCCCATTCAAAAAATACACATTTACAGTTCTTCTCATCCTTATGAAGATTTTAATCATTTTTAATTTTATTTTAATGTTTTGTAACAGTTGAATCTCATACCTTATAAAATGATCATTTTTTTTTCTCCTTTTAGCAAAAATAAAATACTTGATTCTTTGTAGAAATTTATTAAATTTTTTAATTGTGAGAAATTTATTTTAGGCAGTAAAACTTATTAGTGATTAAATTTTTTAGATAAGATTGATTGAAGGCCATTTATTATTTATTTAAGTTTCTGTGATAATTCATATTTAATAATTCTCATTAAATATCTTTGAGCAAATTTAAAATTTGCATTTATTTTTTATCCACTGTTCTACTGGATTAGGTACTCTTTGTGCTTTATCAAAATATATGCATGAGTTAAACCACAATACATATGGGGATGCTTTTCTTAGAGTATTATTGTTGCGCATTGGAAATTTAGAACAGTATTGGGAATTGGAATCTGCAAAAGTATTGGTATCACTAGTAATAAGATTCAATTAAAACATTCTGTTGACAAATATAGATGTATTCAGAACATGGCTGATCATGATAAAAAGCCATGATCACCCATGTGTATCTAGACAATCAATTTTCTAAGCATTTCAAACATCAAACTATTTTTCCTATATATTATGATATTAATGTAAAAATTTAACAAAAAAAAAGATTGACTGAATTCTTCTAAGATAAAAAGATACAAAGAAAATTAATCCTCTAAAACTTAGCAATGCCAAATCCTCCTCTAAATATGTACAACTCCAACTGATTTTGTTCTTGTATGTTTCTCTAATGCAATAGTTTGCATTATTTACTTATTTTATAGAATCTTTGTGTTTAGCTTCTGCATTTCAATTTTCAAGAAAGCAGACAGCCTCTTTAATTTCCAGTGTCAGACATCTTATATTAATTTGCATATTTACTTTCTCTTAAGAAAAAAAGAGGAAAGTTGCTATTTAACTAATTTCTTAAACAACAATCCAGTTTTGCATTACTTCCTACTTGATGTCACTTTACAACTATTTATTTTCCCCACTCCTAATGATATCAATTGAACAAAACGTTTTAAAGAGGAAAATAAACAAATCTGTTCAGAAATGGTCTTCTGTAACTTGCAACCTCACACAGACCTGATAGTTTAACTTTATTTTAAAGAGAAAGAAAAAATTGAAGACAATGTCCTTTGCATTCACTTAAATAGAATATACTTTTGTTCATGCAGTAGAAATGTAAGCCTTTTTGTAGATATTAGTTCTAGAAAAGATACTTTATACTTTTAAATGCAGTGTACAATAGGCATTTTTCAACAATTTGTCTTCACATGTATTTATAAAACTCTAAACATGACTAATGACATATTTAGATTTGATTCTTAGATTAATTATCATCTTAATTCTATCCTTCAGCTAAATTTATGTCTCTAGCTGCATGTCATTCTATTGTGATGTAATTACAGGCAGCTACTTCAGCAGTCATTTTATTATGGGAGGAGAACGATTTGATATGACACAACCAGAAGCTTATTTGTTTGGTGAAAATCAAGATCTGAACTTTTTAGGAAACAAACCCATTCCTGTAAGTATATTATGCTTATTTTTTAATCATATATTTTTTTTATAACTGCTATTTTACATATATTATTCAAATATTATTTTCTAATAATAAAATGATTGCATTCCATCAGAGGAAAAGGGAATTATAGATAATGAAATTGGTCAATTTTTAAAGTTATGATCTAGATTTTTTTTGTATGCTTGTTCCATATATTTCAACGTGCCTGATTGAAAGCAAATTAGTTATATTTGACCAGGTTTCATTCTTTTGAACTTAAGCTACTTTCTTGAGGTTTATGTCCTCGTATACAATATTATGATAAATTTTAGATACAAAATTAGCCTCTGTGCTAACATGCATTTTAAAAATGTCATCAGCATAACAATTTGTCATGTTTTTAGTTTCCTATTTAATGTTATTTTGAAAATCAATGTGTATTCTAAAATGTATTTACAGGATATATTTTATATTTTGATAAATTTACTTCTTTTTAAATTTGACATGGTTTATAAATTTTTTGTGATATACATAAAATTTAATTTTTCAGTTTCCATATCCATTACCTCAAGGAAATGAACCTACAAAAACATTAAAGAGTCTTGTTAATATTCGAAAAGATACTTTGCGTTTTGTCCGGTCAGTATTACTTTCTCTGATGTTTTACACCAATAACTATTATATAATTTCCTGACATATAACCTGTACTTATAATTTAGTAAAGAACATTTAGCAAGAAAATTAATAATATTCAACTAATGATTCTTCTATAGTTATATAGCATTTTTTTAAAATTTTATTTTAAAGTTATTTAGGTTTGTAATCATGATCATATATTTAGCTCTGGGATCATCAGAGGACTATTGTGTCAAACAAGTATGTTTAAGTTTTAATCTAGTAGCAGTAATCCTATTAGGATATAAAACTGATTTTTTTTTTTTTATTTCCTTTCAGAATTTTTTATAGAATAGATAATATAGTACAGGTGCACTACTGACTTTCAAGCAACTGGTGGCCCAGCACTTTTAATTCAGATAAAATTATGAGCAAGGATTTGAACTTCATATGACTGTCTGATTAATTCACTGGGCAGTTGCAGGTGATGCTGTATTTACTAATAGTTTAATATTCTCACAGTCGATGATGCTGTAGATATATAAGAAATGCATAATTCATGGGTCGGAGGTGTATTATTGTTATTACGTGACCTTTTGTTGATTCAGTAAAATGATTTCACATGGTTCTGGAACTAAGGGTCTTGGAAAATCCGTTATGTACCTGTATTGTCATTGTAAATTCAGTTTTTCAAACTGACCATGTATACTAAGTATATTGTAATTGTTTTTTTTTTAATTTTTAGTATAAAGTTAACTGATTAGCTCTACAAATTAGGCAAATATTTAGTGTTAATTGTTAATGACTATTTCATTATTCTTTTCAAAACGGCAATAATTGAGATACATACTCTATACAAAAACAATTGATATACATATGCTTTTTAGAATTAGACTTTCTTAAACTGTATTCTGTTTTTATGGTTGTACAAAATTTGTTTCAGCTTTTTATGTAATTTGTAGATGTTATCACTAAAGATTTTCAATAGATTTTTGTAGTTTATCTCATTACTAGACATTGTTTTTAGCATTCCCAAAAACAAAAACACCAGTAATACTATTCCAAAAGATGAAAAGAAATGCCAATGTACTGGAATTTTTTCTTCAATCAATTGCTTTGGATTCAAATTTTTTGCTCTTGGCATTAAAAATCTTTTTCTCTCTCTCTCTCTCTTTTATATATATAATATATTTCTCTTTGTTTTTTAATGGCTGTCATCTTTGTTGTGACCTCATACATATATAAATGTACTCAATATTAAGGTTGTTCTTGCTTTTATATACTGCCTGCTGTTTTGTGGTTATAGCCTTCACAATGTATTAATTCTGGTTGATTTAAATCTCTCTGTACCTTACTTTTTGGGACATAGTGTGTGTTCAAAAGTTCAGAACAGTGAATTTTTTTATTTTTTTTAAACAACATATTTTTCAGCATAAATCTCCTTTCTTGTGCATATAATATTTAATTTGGTGAATTAAATACTTCAAGCCTTGTACGATGAAAATTTCAGATTGAAATTCAACTAATTACTTGTCAGGTCATGAACTTTTTTTGATCACTCTTATGCATCATAATCAACTAAAACCTTGATTTTAAAATATGTAATTTTTTTTTAAAAATGTAAATTAGCTTTATTGCTGGTGTTTTTAGGAACGTTAAAAACAATGTTCACTAATGAAATAAAATATAAAAATTAATTGAAAAATACTCAGTAATAGCACCTAGAAATTACTGAAATCTCAAATATATTCACAATTGCACTTGGTTAAGATTTAAGGATATAAAAAAAATATTTAATGTTTTTCCTACTCCACTATAGAATAAATTATTTTATCCTTGGTATCTGTTGCAAATTGCAGCATCAGTGACGCAGAAAAAGTTCCTCTTGATAATTCTGACACAGAACAGACTTTCAACCACCACCGTTACAATATAGAATTCACTTTTGACTCTGATGTAAAATGTGCCATTACCATTTACTACTTTGCCATGGAAGAAATCAGCAATGGCCAACTTGTGTAAGTAGTTTACCTTGTACATTAGTTCTTAAAATATTTTGCATGATAACTTTTAAGCAATTGTATTTCTCTTATTTGTAATTTTTTAGTTGTGTTCATAAGCATGGGTTTTGGATTTCATTTCAATAAGTGTGAAGTAGGTTTTGTGTAGTTTTTTTTTTTTTTTTTTTTTTTTTTTTAGAAATTTGCATCCTGTAAAAATGTTTGGACAGGTAAAACAAAGATGAAAACAACTATTAAATTATAGATTTTCTTTATTCAGATAATTTTTCTAACAAAAATTCAGTTAATTTTGTAATACTGGTATCAGTGTATTACAGTTTTTTTGTTTTTTTGTTTTCCCTCTCCATAACAATTGACAGTGACCTGATTAAAATGTTATGATTTCTCTGAATCTTTAAATATGTGGCATATTACAGAATTATGACTGCTAATTTACTTAATTTAGTATTTCAATTATTTTCAACATTTATTTCTAATTTCAATAAATTTATTTAGAGCCTGCATATTTAGTATTAGAGGAATCCAAATGCTGGTTATTAAAAACCTGGACTTCTTTGTAGTCAGTTACTTTTAGAAACAATCTTCCTGGGGATTTTACAAATTTCCCTTTTCTTTATTTCTCTCTATTTCTGTCTCTTTTCCTCCCTTTTCAACAACCCTAATTTTTCATTTAGATACCATCCCAGAGCTGCCTCCATGAATTCTGAAACTTACCACTATAAACGTGGAGCCAATCAGGTATTCAGTCAGTCAACACATGTAGTTGATCCAAGCAAGTTCCCTGAAGAAGATGTGAGTAAACTAATGGTTTCTCTGTTTTTGTAAATAGCTATGTGCACAAAGTTCTAGCAAAAAAAAAAAACAGCTGTGTTTCAGGCTCTGGTTTTTAAATAAAGATGGCTGGGATCTTGCACACACCTAATATATTTAGTTGGTTTGTTTTTCTTCAGCTCAGGTGATTTGTTGAAAAAGTATAAAAAGCATCAAACCTCTCAACTTCTCAATTTCAGTTATTAACATATTAAGTACAAGTATTAGTGTTTCTATGCAATTTGAATCTTATTTCCAATAACTTCTCTATTATACTTGTTGCTGTATGAATTTATCATTTTTCTTTTATAAGGGACTTTTTTGTACATTTATCTGTCTACTAACATGATACAAAGTAATGTATCACATGATGTTTTCTAAATAATTTGGTTAAATTTTATGCACATGGTAGATAAATTTTAATTCAGCTATATTAGTTTTAACTTAAATTTCTGTATGAAATCATTAGCTTTTTATTGATGTTTAATGAACAGAATATTGTTTTCTCTTTTCAGTGGCAGTATAACCCAGACAAAGAAGTCATTCCAGTTGTTATCCAATGTATTGTAGAAGAGGAAGGTTTGTAAAATTCACTATTTCTTTCAAATGAAAATATAGAAAATTAAGCTTTTATTGAAAGTGTATTAATCACTAAAAAATCTTATTGTTAGTTTTATATTCTTCGTTTTTATACTTATTTTATAATTCTGTTGACTTTTCCATTTTTATCAAAATTGGTTTCTCAGCACTAAGTTTTGCTGTTAAATGCTTAACTAACATATTGGACCAGAGATATATGTAAAATCTTAATGCATTCTTATTAACTCTTATTGCAGAGCATGCAGGTCATTCTCATGTTACTTTTGCTGTTGTGGAAAAAAATGCTGACAGTGGTTATGTACTTAAACCTCTCAAACAAAAACAATGTGTTGGTGGCTTGTGTTATTTACTACAGGAAATTTATGGTATTGAAAACAAAAACCTAGAAAGATCAAAGGTAAGATTCATTTTAAAATATGTAGCATTAACTTTAAAAATATAAAATTAACTTTAACATTTTCACAATTTTTCATTTGGGTTACTCTTTGTGAACCTGAATCATAGAATTTGGATATATTATAACCTTTCCTATGCCTTTTACTTTTATTTAATCATACTTATTTTTATAGTCAATTACTGATAAACTCTTTTTTTTTGCCCAGAAATTTTTAATGATTGCTGGAAGTTGTATAAACTGTTGTGCATACATTTGTACAAGAGTAATAGTGTGCAGTGGTTATGTGGTCCTTGTCTTAATATGAAAAAAAAAAAAAAAATCTTACATAATTGAAATTTTCTCTAGTTGTATATATTTTACATTGTTTTAAAGTGCATCTATCATGTCTTAGAACAATTTTATCCATAAGCTAATTTATTTTGCTATTGATACATCTTTAAGTTCTAAATTAATTTCAGCATTTAGTAACTGTTAAAAAAATATTGCATATATATAATGTTAACCTAGATTAATTCCTCTACCTTCATACATCTGGAAACCAAGGCTTTTCCTAACAATATAAACAGCAGTATACATTGAATTTCTTGATGCTTGTGCTAAGCAAATTAGAATAAACTTTGATTGTTACTGATGTTCATGTTAAGTCATGTGACAAATACAATAGGTTAATTATAAGTTTGTTTATATTATTGTTTTTAACATTTAAGAAACGTTTGTGTTCCATGAAGTTTTACTGTTTAAATTGTTTTGGTTGTTAAAGCTAAGAATTTGTGGGTTTTTAGTATAGACCTTTTACAGGATTACTGATTTGAGAAAAAATGCCAGTCATAAATAATTCATTTATTGAATAATCAGTTATTTATTTATTTTTTTTCTCTTATCTATTTAGCTGGATGCTGATGATGAAATTGAAGATACTGGTTCTGAGTGTGTGATTTGTATGTCAGACATGCGTGACACTTTAATTCTTCCATGCCGTCATTTGTGCCTGTGCAATAATTGTGCAGAGTCATTGCGCTACCAGGCCAGTAACTGTCCTATCTGTCGTGCCCCATTCAGGGCACTTTTGCAGATTAGGGCCATGCGAAGAAAACAGGTATCTTCCAACCTAACTCAGGTAATTAAATGTTGGGAGAATGGTAATGACTTTTTTTTACATCATCATGGAAACCCTTTAATATCTGATTTGGCTAATTCTCAAAACTCTAAAGGCTTAATACATCCTGAGACCTTTCTAATATAGTCATTGATAAATGTACTTCAAATGAAGGCTCTTTGCAGATTAAGATGAATAAATGAATTTTCTCTTAAGATGTGTTATATACAAGTATGATATTGATACAAAAGTTTACAGCTGCTCTTTCTTTTTTTTTTTTTTTCTTTTTTTTTTTTTTTTAAACAAAATTTTTATAAAAAGTTCATAGCATTATTATTCAGTTATCAAAGTATTTTCCCTGATTTTCTTTAACATTGTGCCACCTTTCATGTAAATTATGTATTCTATCATAAAAGAATGATTCTAGTTTTGATTTGGTGAATTTCTTTAGATCTTGAACTTTTGGGAATTGTTGACGAAACAACCAACATTTCTTAGAATGAAACAAGTGATAGTTTTTAAGATGACAAGTCTAGAAACTGTTACTTGTGGAATAAGTTCCCATCCCTGCTCCATGGTCATTTGATGCATTTCTAACATAAGACATGCAAGAAAATCACCAGTTGACTTTGTTGCTGACCCTCCCCCCCGATCATTTCTCTTGCAATTGCTCACTATAGCATTGCATAGTAATAATTTGTCAACGTTCCAGTAATACATAATAAAGGATTCCATTTCATTCTCCCCAAATACAGAACTTTTCCTTACTAGATTCCATTTGAGATGTTTAAAGCTTTTCTGAATTTATCTATAATTTTCTTTGTTTTTTGAATTATCACAATAAATCCATTTTTTTATCACCAGTGACTACAGTTTATTAATAACAGTTGACTGATTGTCCAAACAAAAATAAATTAAAAAAAAAAATAAGTAAATTTACTCTCTAAGATTTTCCCACTAACATTTTGTAAAATATAGTGTTGTAAACTTTTGCATCTATCTAGTAGAAGACAAAAATGTCTTTAGGGAAATTGTGATTGTAACTTATTTTATTTACATTATTTACAAGCGGGCTATTGCCACATGTTTGTTGTTATTGCACCCTCCAGCTTTCATCTGGTGATCATTGATGCAGATAACCTTCAGGGAATTACAAACTGAATCCTTTATTTAATCTATGGGAGTAGATTGTTCTCGTTTCACTGTCCATGTCATGTCTAGTTCTTATTTAGTACCTCTCAGTTATTGCTCATCTTGTTTCCACAAACTCTAAGTACATACTGCCCAGCCCAAGGATTGAACTCACAATTACTAATGCTTTAATCCACTAAGCTATTGTTCCATGGCACAATTTTGAGTGGAGAACTCTGAACCTTAAACCTAACCTGGCTGCTGATGCATGAGAATAGTGTAATAGATTAACACAGGGGTTCTCAACAGTGGTGAAATTCACTCCCAAGGGGTGAATTTTGGACTTTCAGGGGTGAATTGTGACCACAGTAAGTTTAGAGGGTGAGGAGAGCAATTATAGAATTTGGCATGTCACCTTGAAAAGGAGGGGGATGGCATTCTGACAAATGGTGAAAGGGGTGCATGGGGGAAGCATTAGTTTGTGAATTTGGTGACATCATAATTGCGAGTTCAATCCCTGGGCCAGGCGGTACATTCTTGGACTCTGTGAGTAATAACTGAGCAGTACTAAATAAGAACTGGACATGGACAACAGAATGAAAACAATCTATCCCCTCCCCCAATTAAATAAAGGGTTCACTTCAAATTTCCCTCCCTGAAGGTTAGCTCGATCATCAATCACCTGATGAAGGCTGGATGGCACAATGGCTGAAATGTTGTGATAACAACAACAACAACAACAACCACAAAGATGGTGACAATAGTCCACATGTAAAACTCCTCATCCCAGAAATTCAGACGTAACTTTTTTTGTTTACAATGTCATAGCTCAGTGGAAATATTTTGACCCATTTGATTTTCCTTTCATTACATCCTCTATTATATTCATATAAATAATCCGCTTCACACAGCATACACTACAATTTATACAGAATACTTGAAATAAAACTTATTTACAATATTTACAATATTTCAATATCTTGAAATATTTTGAATTACTGAACTTTTATAAATTCTTTGATTATTTTCAATTTGTGTTTTATTCTGCCATGTAAAATGAATTTAAATTTAGAAATATTCTTTTATCACTTTTTTTTTTTTTTTTTTTTTTTTTTTTTTTTTAGGGTGGCGGTGAAGAAGATAATTTTGTTAGTCAAGAAGGAGTTCCTCCTGGGTATGAAGCTGTTTCATTGCTTGAAGCTCTCAATGGTCCATATCAAAATAATTCTGTGCCAAGTCCAATGCAAATGTCACATGAAGGTCAGTGATATACTTATTTCATGTGTCTTGCTTACAGTGACAGTGTTGCTTATTTGAATGCTCTTACAATTTACTATGTACAAGAAATAATTACAATAATTTACAAGGGTCAGATGATCAGACTAAAAATGGAGCACTGCTGCCATAGCTGAACTGGTGCTGCCCAGTCCTCACTTTCCAGCCTTGATTCGGTTCAGAAGTGTCTATGCACCCTTGTAGGTGATGAATTGTTTTCCACCATACAACCCTTTTCCCATAAATGTCACAAGCCTATTGCTATTCTATGTTCTTATGATCCCTTAGTTCCTCCAGTTCAGACCTCTATAGCTAAGATGCGCAGTGTCATGTGCACTGGAACAAACGTTAGCACATAAATTTCTACAGATTATACATGAAAGTATATAGTAGATATATAAAAACAAAACTTCTTTTCATATTTTTAACAATTTTGATTGAACATTCTGAATTCTATTTTAGTTTTACTTAAACTGATTGCATTTCACTTTGAGATTGTCCTTAATTTCAGATTTTCCAGAAATTTTAATTATAATCTAGTTACCATTATATTGGAGAACTTGTTACTAAAATCAAAAATAAAATTCATCAGCCTTTCCACAGCTTAAAATCATAAATCACTAATCCTGACATTAATGAAAATTTTTCTTTTAAAGTAACTTAGGTTGTGTCAGTTTCATAGGAAGCAGCTAGCCTTTTTGAAAGGTTTTGTAGTTAGTCAAGTTGAATATCTGAAAAATCTAAAGTAAATGTCAACAGAAGTCTGTACTTTTGAAGTGGTTTCTTTTTATTTAGTTTTGTCTGCGTCGCCTGCTTTGTTTTTTTTTTTTTTTTTTCTTACCATTACATTTCCCCTTTTTTAATTTTTATTTTTGGAATTTTCAGGCAAGATAAAATAATTAAAATACACAAATAATCTTGTATCTGTAAAAGCTATTCTTTGTTTTCATCATGAGAACATTTTGTGTACTAAAGCATAAAATATTTCACTCGGATATTATTTTCATTCAAGAAAAATAACACTTTATAATAAAGCAGGTCAGTTAAAATGTTAAGGGAAAAACATGATAAAAACATGGTGCTCTTAACTATAAAAAAAAATAAATAAATAAATTAAAAAGAATTATGGAAGAAGCAGAAAAATAATCCAACATTGATCTTGTGATGATTACTTAAATCTACTTGAGTATAGGTGATTATTTTGTCAAAATTATTGGCATAATTTTTTTTTCAATTTATACTAACAAGTTGTACAATAGTAATAGAAATTTTAAAAAAATTTAAGTTTCTTTTTCCTAAAAGTTTTGTTCAAAATCTTTTAGGTTCAGCTTTGATTCAGTGTTTTAAATTACTTTAATTTTTTTTTTTTTTTTTTATAACTATTTAACATGATCTGATTTAGAAAAAGCTAATGATAGAATTTTATTTACATTCTTTGATAAGTCTTAAAGTTGAGTCTTCACAAAACCTGAGGCTGTCAAGTTGAACATTTTTAAACAAATTATTTTCTGCTTATGACTTCATGATTAATAACAGAAAATTATTTAGAAGTTTTCAGTCTTATTTTGCTTTGGATAAAAGATTCTTCACTCTTTTTGTGCTTTGCAGTGAATAAAGATATCACTCTTATTTATTCATTTTTTCCTGAAAGGGATTTGATGGCTTAAGAGAATGGTTTTCTTAGTCTCTGAAGAAATTTCACTAAATAAGTGATTGTGTTTGTTAACATGCCTTTTTACTGAATGTCTTCAAGGCAGGTTGATTTTAAATTGGTTTGTATAAATTTAATTTTTAACATAAAAGTACCTCAATTATTAAGACTGATGAGTTAGAATTCTATTAGAACTGTATTAAATAAGAAAGTTAATGTAAAATGAGAAATGTTGTTAGGTTCTGGTTTGAAGTTGTAATTCCAAGAATAAATGATGCCCTCTCTGCAAGTGAGAAAGAAGTGGAACAGAGATAGGATCATTTACCTGTTAAATGACATAATTCAAATACTTGGTTTACCCAATATGGCAACATTCTCTCCGCATTATATAGTGATGAATTCAAGCATTACAACTTGAAGAGTTTTTTATCTGTTCTGGTTAGCATTTTCTACTGAATCTTTTCAATATATTCATTTATTTTAAATAGATCTGGTCATTTTAGTTTCTTCCATTAATTTATTTTTAATGCAGTGATGATAGCTTTTAACAGGACAGCAATAGTCCTATGTATGCTTGTAAGCTGGAGTTTCCTTTTGAAAAATAATCAGGCAACTTTTATTTATTTATTTTTTATTTATTTTTTTTTGCAACTCTTTGTTTGGGGTTATTTTTTTATACTAAGCAAATGAAGAGAAAACTAAATGCCTGCCAAGTTCCTCATAAAATCATTTTTAAGTAAAAGCCTTCTCAAAGTGTAAATCCTGTGACATCATCTTTTCATTTATTGATTCATTTTCATTTTCTAGATATTACTCCAACAGAGAGAGATGGCGAGCATGATGGCGACAGACTGAGCGGCAGAAATAAGCACAACAATAGAAGCAGTATGTGTTTGAAGAAATGGCCATTTTCATTGTCGTGCATTCTTTCACCTTTTAACATATGCGTATTGTACATTTTTTTAGTTTATACTTCTCTATATTGCTTGATAGTTATTTTTGTTTTTTGTTTTTCTATGTCTTACTTCTTGTGGAGTGGTTATTCTTTCTATCAAGGCTGATTTCTTTGTTAATGGTTGGTATTTTCTACAAACATGTAATAGTTGAAAAATTATTCTAAATTCTTCTAGGTGGTTACTGGTTTAAATGTTTTTCTAATAAATCTTTGTGGGTAGACATTTTAACTCAAAGCGTTCAGTATTTTTGACAAGGTTCCTATTTGTATACAATTTACAACTCAAGAAAGAAAAATATTAGTTAATTTACTATATTTAGTATCTTTTAAAATATTTGTATGTTTAAAGTGCATGAACTTACTCAAGTTCCAGCCAGAATACATTTTTATACAAATCTTTTTTTTTTTTTTTTTTTTTTTTTTTTTTTGAAGCATCCTTTAAATATTATGCATTTCTTGTTTTGTTTATTTTAATTGATTCTGTGAAAAGTTATCTTGTGGAGGTTGTTTTTAATTTCTTTATATATTTTATATAAACATGTTTACATGGGATAGAATTATAGATGTTTTGAAATGAAGCTGCAAAGACTTGTAGTTTACAGATGAGAAAAAAATTTTAAGAGGAATTAATGTTTTAGATGATTTTTAATTCCCTTGCAAATTTAATATGTACAGTTAGTAAATAATTTTATAAATAATAGTATAATAAATTGTTTAAACTTTTACTTATATCAGTAATTTAATTGATATAGTTTTGATGTTCACACTGATAAGGTTGAGTTTAAAATAATTTTTTTATGAAAATTTACATTTTGAGATGATATTGAGGGTATCCCTATTGGGTTTTCTATTTAAATGTTGTTTTTTTTTTTTTTTTTTTTTTTTTTTCAATTTCTTTGGCCACTGTACTTGTTAAAAGGAATATTTTCTTTTGTGTCAGATTTCTAATGAAATCACTTGTTTTTCTTTCAATTTATTATCTGGTTGATATTTTAATTTTTTTTATTTAAAAAAAAAAAAAAAAAATAATAATTAAGACGTTTTGCCTCTCCAACTTTTTAAAATTAGAATATTTTAGTAGAAATAACAACTCCTTATTAACCCATTAATTGGCAAAAATTTGTCATTCTCAGTTGAGCCAAAGAGCTCCAATGATGGACATTTTTGTAATTCACAGTAAAGGTTGCAACAATGTTCTGCTATTGTTATAATCTTTGAAGCATTTGAAAATTTTGAGCAAGATTGCTATGTACAATCACTTTAACATTTTAGAGTTGACTTTAAAGATGGATTATTAAATCACTATGTAAATAAGATTCTTGTGTGTGGTGAAGATAGTCATTCATTTCCAAATTTGATTTGACTGAAAATAGATTTTTAAAAAAATACTCTGAGCACCATGTGGTTTGTTGCATAAGAAATTTGTTTTGAGATAATTGCATTATAATATATCATATAGTATATTTTTCATTCAAAAACCATCCATCAATACCATTAGCAACCAGTGTAAAGGTAGTTAATGATACTTCAAATAGAAATTCAGCTACATATATATAAGTGCAGGATTTTATCATTTCAACAAATTTTTTTTCAAGAAATGAAAGGAGTTTTTTTTTTTTTTTTTTTAATTATCTAAGAATTGATTCAATTTTAACAGATAAACAACTAGTAAAGTAAATAGTAAAAAGGAACATTTGCACAATTACTTTAAAATTTCACTATATACCATTTTTATTTATGCTACCAAAAAGAACAATTTCAAAATTAAGTTTGTTTTTGATCCAGTGATAATTTCTGCCAAAACAGGCAATAAGCTTTAATCTGGAAAAAATTTAGTTGATTTTATTGTAAAGAAAGCTAATGTGATGGAAACTATTTTAATAAAACAGCAAATTCATTTACTAAAAACCTAAGCTTCTTTATATACTATAAATACTATTTTGTCTTTTTGTTTTTTGTGAATGTATATATGAAATCTCTTAAATTAGACACTTTATTCTTTGAATTATCTATATTTTAATTATTTATCTTTAAAATGTCAAATTAGCATAAATTTTAAAAAATCCAAAAGAACTTATCCCACATTTCATAGTTCATTGATCTTAAGTTGGTGTAAATTATTTCACAACTTTGGCTATTATCACTTCTTTTTCATTTTCTTCACAAAATGTAAATCTGGTATCTAACTTTACTTCTAGTTGCAGGAAAATCAATTTATCTGTCTACTTTTTCAGCTCCACATTTTCATATTCAATATTGTTTATTTTCTTTTTGTTTTTGTTTTTCAGTTTATTTATGGAATAAGATATCAAGATATTTTCAATTTGCATGTTCTTGTACTTAGATATTTCTTTCACACTGTTTTGTTTTTGCTTGTTTTTATATTAAAGATATTTTTCTGGTTTCTTTTAGTATGTTATTCCTGGTGATATATTTTCTTTGTTACATCAACAGCCATTGTCTTAAATGTTGAAATTATTTGCTAAATTGAATTTTTGTGAATGATGTTTGTAAATACATTCACTTTACTTATTACTGCATTTTCTGTCAGTGTGTAGACTGTTTAAAATCCAACATTTTTCCAGTATCTATAAATGGATTACTTCATTTTATTTCATTTACTTTATTATTTTAATACCAAAAGTTGGATGCAAAACAAATAGCCTAAACTAACAATACAGATAAAAAATAAAGATTCTATTAGCATTGCTAAGTAACAAAAAGATTCATGACACTGATTGGGAGTATTAATATTGATCAAGTATTTATGGTTTTGGAATTTTGGTAGCCATTATAAATTATCCTTGGTTTTAATGTTATATATTTCATTTTAGACTGAAATTTTTTATTAGTCTGTTAAGATATAAATGATTTTGTAATGTCTATATTTCCTAAAACTATTAGCAATAATAATGAGTGAAAATTAAAAATAAAAAATCCATTAATAATGCCAACAAGATCTGAATTTTTTTCCTAGATTTCCCTTTTTTTATATAGTCTTCAGATTTTTGTCTGGAAATATTCAAGAGATGCTGTAATGTTCAGTTGAATAAATCTTGCTTGTGCCTTTTTGGTCAATTCAGTATATGCCATATAAACAGGTATGAGTTGCTACTCTCTCAGCATCAAAACTTTTATAGCCTTTGTTACAAAATTAAATAATTGACTTTTTTATGCATAGTTTTTAATCTATACAGTGGAGCTTATAAAAGAATGCTTTTCATAATTTGCTAATTTGTCAAAATCTTGTCTTGCTGTTTGTAGGAATTCGTGAAAAGAAAAGATCTTTAAAACGGTGAGTAATTTATTAAATGATTCCCCCCCCCACCATCTTTGTTCATAGAATTATTTAACACCATGAAGTTAATTTTCATACTATTTTATTTTTAACTGATAGACTCTTACTAAAACACTATATACTTCCATGCTTATAGTTTACAACTTGATTTAAAATTTCTGTTACAAAATCAGTCAATACATTTGGGTGCATAAATTTTCATAATACAAATTCTTGCATACCGTATAGGAAAATTAAAATAGCCACAATTATTCTCTTACTTTGTATATTTAACTATGAATTGGTATGTAGCTTGAATCTTTACATTTTGTCTCAAACTATCTTTCAGAAACCATCCTTTCATTAGTAACAAATTTACTATTTTAGTAAGTACAGTAATATCTGATTTATTTTGCAACTATAAATTTTGAAGGAATATTTAAACTTATTATAATAGAGTACTGCTATTAATTATCATTTAGATTCGCATGATGAATAACAGCCATTTCTAATTAGTTTTAATCAATATTTTATACTTGAAATGCAAAGTTAGTAATGCTAGATAGAATTATTCTGGGTTTTTTTTATCATCCATATATTTGTTAGTACTTTTCAAATTTTACCAATTTTTAATAAAGATTTTGGTTTAAACTGCCATAATAAATGTATGAGAACACAAAATTTTATTTAGTCTAACCTCATGGTTCACAATGTGGGACAATTTGAGAAGGAATTAACAGTGAATTTTTTTTTCCTCGTTAGTATGAGTGCAAGTTAATGCACATGGTGTATATACAGTATGCATACATAAAAATTTTTGTGGTACTATATATATATATATATATATATATATATATATATATATATATATATATATATATATATATAAAATTTCAGAGTATATCAGTAAAAGGACAATATGAGAAAAGACAAAAGGAAAACTTATCTTAGTTGATGTGCTTCATCCTCTAAGGGACTTTATCAAGGCAAATGTAAGGACTTTATTTTGTAACCAGTATTTATATAGAAGTGCAGTTTTGTTTTTTTGTTTTATTTTTATTTTTTTTTATTTTTTTATTTTATTTTTTATTTTTTTTCAAAAACAATTTTGGGTATGGGAAGTTCATGAATATTTATCAGGTTGGCATAAAAGTCAGGTAAGTTCATAGATGTTGGGTGATACAGTTCAATGCCTAATAAACAAAAGTGAGTAGGAGGTTTTTTTTCTACACCATATAAAATCCTTACATTTGCCTTGATAAAATCACTCAGAGGGTGGAAAATGTCAGCTAAGATAAGTTTTCCTTTTGTCATATATATAATTATTTATTTTTTAACAATTTCTTAGTAATTTCTTCCTCAGTACTTCAACTGTCCTTTTACTTTTCTCTTCCATGAATGCCATGTTCTTTGGAAGTTTGTTTTGACCAAGTTAATGGCATTTTAGGCTTCCTCCACATGAATAGAAGTTCGCTTTTTGAATAATAAGAATTATATATTGTGGGGGTGCATCAATATTTTAGAGATGCTTAGTTGGAGCATGGCCAAAAATCAGGTGGGGAATCACTGGTCTAACCCATATATAGAATATTATGACTTTAATGCTTTAATAGGTACTAAATTATATAAGGATACAGTTCACACATCTGTCATTTTTTATGTTAGATTTTTAGGGCCAAGGTAAGAAAAGGCAAAAAAATAGATCTACCAGAACAAACATTTGTTTCACTTTAAACAAAAAAGGGTTTGTCACTAATGTAAGAAAATTGAGATTCAATTAATTCCTGAATAGCTTATCAGAATAGTAGTGTGTGTTGTTGTTGTTGTTTTTTTTTTAAGTTCTAATTATGTACATATTGGGAAAGCCATGAGTTACAGTTAATACCCAAAACCTGGAAACCGGCCATGGTTAGGGTATCCAAGCAAGTCTATCTTCTTGGAAGATGCCCAGAATAGGCATTCCTTCAATAAGTGTTTGAAGGAAATTCAGGCATTTTGTTGAGGTTCCTTTCCGATAAAGTAAATGGCCCATGGAGTGCCCGTTGTCTTGCATATAGGTGACTTAATCAAACATTACTTATTAGCAATTTATGTCTTTAAAGTAACAACATTTAACAAAAGTATAAAGTTTTCACTCTCAGCCAGTTACTGATAGGAAGGCGTTTTCCTTTTATAGACATGACTTATCTCATGACAAATAAGGAAAAAATTTAAGCCAAGATATTTTTTTCCATAATTGTGTGGGAGCAGTAAACAGTTTAGATGTTGTCTGTTCCTATTATGAATTCTCTCTTATATAGGTTACCATGTGTCTAACCTCACTCTTTCCTTGCCTAGCCTGTAATTTTTTTTTTATTATTATTAAACCTCTCAGTTGTAATTATTTATTTTTGTCATACTTTTTATTGTTTAGTCGTCTCATTAACTTTCTGTGGCAATTTACACTGCAATGTTACCTGACTGCAACCTACACTCTATCATGTTAGTATAATCACTTTTATTGGGACACAACATAAGCATTACCTACATGAAAATTCTAAAATTTTCAGTTTTTTCTCTCTTTGGTAACAATGAGAATTGTGTCTAAATTTCTTGATCCTAAATAAATGTTTTAATTGCAGTCGACAAACCAATGAAGTAACAGGTACTCGACAACAAGCACAGAATCTAAATGATGACTTAGTAGATAAAGAAAACAAGACAAATGAAGCAATCATTGCTAAGAATACTCAGCCAACAACACCAGAAGTTGTCATGTCTGAACAGATTGTTGGTAGTCAAGGAAACAAGGAAAATGAAAAGAATTCAGGCAGTGATGTAGAGGCTGTGTAAGTAATTTTTTTTTTTTTTTTTTTTTTTTTTTTTTTTTTAATGAGAATCTTATTCAAGAATGGACCAAACAAAATGTGAGGAGAAAATGTAAGAATATTTAACAAAATCAAAATATTGAATATGAACATCTCTTCTGAAAAATCCAGGCAAAAACCTCTTGTATTCTTTATGAATATGTGAATGTTTACTTTTGGAAATTGGCTTCATTTCAAATGACTTATTTGAAGGAATTAAAATGTATAATTCTTTTCTTTTTATATATTTTGAGTTACAAAAACATTTCAATCAATAAGGAATTTGCTAAAAATACTTTCCCTTTGGAATATTATTCTAATTGCTCTTCAGTATTACGGTTATTTTCTTCATCTTATTCTCATCTATATCTCCACCTTCATTCACGTTTTTTAGGTGGTTTGTCAAACTCACTTATTCTACATTAAATTTTATATTTTTCTGCATGGTTTCTATGAACTTTACTTTTAATATTACCATCATTTTGTCATGTAATCTTTGGATATTTTTTTTTTTTTTTTTTTTAATTTTCCAGCTGTTATATTTTAAGCTGTTAACTTTTTTTATCAATTGTTTTTTTTCTCTTAGATTTGTTGAAATTCTTTGTCTACTCCTTTAGAATTACAAAATCTTCCTTAGTATAACTCCTAGCTTCTGAGAGGTTATAAGGTACTGCATTTTTCTGAACAGTACAAAAGAGTTTTAATTAAGGTGGTTTTAATTCACATGGCTCAGATATTTACTTAAACTTTTTAATATATGCATAACCAATTTGCTCAAATATTTCTAATCAAGAAATTAAAATTTTTGATGTTAAAAACAAGTTTTTAACATCAAAATATTCATAACACCAACTTTTGAAAGATTTTGGCATTTCACTAAAGTAGATTAATTTGATTTACTAAGACCAAAATATACTGTATTGGTTCAATGAAAAATATACAGAAGATGCTATTCACTGCTGCTTCTGTAAGCTAGGTTGTTTCTCACATATATATATATATATATATATATATATATATATTACAGTCTCTGGGATTAGATTCAGATACTTGACATAGAACACTGGAAATTGAGAAAATTGAATGTAGCTGCATGTATTGGTTTGTCTGCTAGTTTTGTATATCTGGCAAATATAGATTTCACTGTGATATAGTCCTTTGCTCAACAGAGAAGGAATTGGAGAAAGATCTATGTCTAAATTAAAATCACCTGATTTATACAGCTGACAGTGAATATTTGTATCTTGCATTGCTGGAATGAACTGTATATTGGATACCATTTTTATTTCCAGTCAAAAAGAACTTGTCCTGCTTTCTTGATGGGTTCTCTGCTTGAACATATGCTTGAAGAATGGATAATCTAAAAACCATCAACAACAGAAAGTATAGGAGATAGGCAAAATATATAAATAATTTGTAATCCTGATTTTAAAATCTTATAAATTTTAATTAAAAAATGGAATTCTTTTACAACTTTGGAATTTTATTATGACAGTCATTATTTTTTATTTATATAGAAATTTCAGTGTAAGTATTTAATTAGAGATAAAATTATTACTTTATAGTATTGAATATTATAGATTCATTTTACTGTCTTGTTGACTTGCATCCTGTAAAAAAAAAACAAAACAATATTGCTGAAAAGTGTCCAAGTGAAACTTGAGAGCTGGTATATTTTTTATATTAAATATAAAGTAATCTTGATGACTGTTAGAGATGAACATTTAAGATTTCAATATTAATACCTTTTTGTTTTTATTTTTCTTAAGTGGATATACAATTCATTTTGATAAAAATGTGTGTTAGGTATGTGATCTAATTTTGATTTTACTTTTGCTTTTTTTATTGAAATAAACCTGACTGAATCACTAAAATAACTTTCAGCTGATTATTAAAGTGTGAAATACTTTAAAGTGTAACAAAAATGAATAAAGTTTTACAATATTAGGTCATTATTGGGGACATTTTGTTTCCTTAAATGATTACAAACTTCTTTTGAGGAAATTTTTGTATTTCCAAAATAATAGTTTAAAAATTAGTTTCTTTTATGTTTTCTCTTCAGTGTACACTTAATTTTTTTTCTAATTCTTCATGCCATGCCTAATTCTATTTTTGTTACTTTAGTTTGTTTAATTTTCATCTCATCTCCAACTGTATTTTACTTCAGTAATATTATAGTTTCTGTTGTTCAATCAAGTTTTGTTTTTGTGCATTTTCTCCTTGTCTCAAATAATATAATTAAAAAAAACTACCGATGAATTTCTTTAAAAATAAAATTTGATCTTCAAACTGAAGATTTAGTTTATGCTGTTTGGCAGAAATAAGAATTCTTTCTTGCCTCATTTCTGAAGTTTCCATTTTCAGTGTTCAGAATTTTATCTTGATGGTACACATTTTATTTATATACAGGCACACACATACATACACACATGCACACACACACACAAATATATGTACATTTTTTTTATTTTTTTTTCTTAAATTATAGTTTACATTCAATGACTACTAGATTGTGGTCAATGTCCGCCTCAGCTCAAAGGTAGCTATAAGTTTTAAATATTATTCAGTATCTTCGTTTGGTTAATGTAAAACTATTTTCTATGCTTATTCTCTAGTATTTATGTTTGTGTGTTGTTTTATGTTAGTCCTGTCATGTATTTGTGATTTTTTTTTTTTTTTTTTTTTTTTTTTTATTTTTTCCTTATCTTTTTATAAACAAATTTTCATCTTTCTGCTTCAGGGTGTATTGTCAGCTTATGACACTAAAAGGTTTCATGACTATATTGAGTACAATATACAACAACTATGCAATAGATCAAGATATCTTTTATCTTTATATGATAATCTATATATTTAAACATAACAGAATTTTCATTGTATCAAAAATCCTCTACATATTTTTTTTCTAATTTTAAATCAAAAATGGATGTCAGCATGATTTTCTGAGTTTGTTATGGTGTTTGTTTTATTGGAATCCTACTTATATATTTATCTTTTTTTTTCCTTTTTTATTTTTTAAATTCATTCTTATTATGAGGTTTTTTTATTGTTATTCTGCCATATTCAGTAAATAAAATAGCTATATTAATATGAATGAAAGGAATTATTCATTTGCTCAGCTATGATAAGTATTTTTTGCATTTCAAACTTTATTGTACTCTTTTATTTTTAATTTTGTTTTATTTTTTAAGCAATTGGTAAGATACTTTTTGCAATCAATTAGTAACTGTTTCTTCCTATATCTATAAATACAAAACCAAAAAAATCACTATGATATTGCTTACATAATTGCAATGTAAGAATTATTACCTTTTGTACGATTAATTCATCAAGCTTTCAGTATATATTGGTATTTATATTTTGTGGAATTTTAAAAAAATCATTGTAAAACAATATTGAAGTATTTTCAAAAAATGTGTCTATTAATCCTAATTGTCTCATGTTTTTTCTTGCAACTCTTATTTAATTATTTACAAGTATATCAGTGAAAATCAAGGATATTAGAAAGTTTCTCTTTACATTCTACTTCCAGAAAAATTTGTTTCTGTCTATTTTATCGTTGTTTTAGAAAATCAGAAGAATAAGAGTAATTTCTGTATGAAATTCAAAGATCTATTAACATTTGAAAGTTCCATACCATATATATATATAAATGCAAATAGAAATTGAAAGATTCAATGAATGTGCTTATTGCATGCTATGGTTTGAATACAGCGAAGTTCTTCACATTTCTCATTGTGGGTTCCTGAATATATTGATGCAAAATTTCCCAGTGCTATCTTTTGCACAATATTAGAAAAATAAAAATCTTTGAATTGCCTTTTTTTTTTTTTTTTAATTTATCCAGCTCTTTATTACTTGGGCAATTGGTTAGCTGTACCCATTATCCTGGAATCATCCTGAAAATATTTTAAAGCATCCTTAAATCAGATTTAACTTTTTAACTTTATCATTTATAATTGTTATTAGCATAATAAAAACACCATTAAAATGTTTAGGAAATATTTATTTTGATCCATTCAATCTTTAAATTGTGGTCTCCACCACTTTATGACTGAAAAATGTCATATTGCTGAGCAGGAGAGCCATGAAGGAAGATTTTCAGGAGGCAGTTTTTAATGATTTATTCAAGTTTTTTTTTTTTTTTTTAACTAAAAATTGACAAAAATATAATTTTCTTACTTTGCTTATTAAAGCAAAATTAATTCTTGTAATTTGTTTGTGCTTGCTTGCCTCATTTATTCCAGTATTGGTGAGAAGTAAGAATTTTTATTTTATAATAAAATAGCTACTTTTATAATAAACATAATAGAATTTTAATTAAAAATTTTGTATCCAACCAGCATCATTCCCAAAAAAACCTAACCAGTCATTCCAAACTAATGTTCTGTTGTTCCTGAGAGGACATTAATCTCAAGTCCCGAATACATCATTCACATGTTTTAAGAAAAAGGAAACTGACAGGTGATTTTCCCACATTGCATAACTTGTACTCGGGTTATAAATGGCTGTTGCAAACATGGAGCTGAGATAGAAAGTTCTTTCAGGTCTTGTATATTCTTTGAATTTGTCACCTTTTTAACTTGTTGTGTCTCCTCCAACACTCATTAGCCATTCTAACAATTTCAAGATATAGAAAAATTCCTTGGATATTTTATTCAATCAGAGCCAGAATTATTTTTATGATGTAAATACAGTCTGAAAAAAGCAATGTCAGTCATAGCTGGAAAATACTTTGATAACTGCTAGGAAATTGTGTGAATAAAGAAGTATGTTAAGAAAAATATCAGAAACCATTGAATCAACCAAATATCATAGTTTAAGTCTAATTTAAGAGTTTTTTATATTAACATGCAAGGTTTGGCTATACATTATAATTTTATATTCTTAAATACAAAACACATCTTAGATATTTTACTCTTGTTTGTAAGGTGTTGCCATAAAATTGACTTGAAAGTTAAATTATGTTTTTCCTTTCATAATAACTGAATTTCAATAGGATTTCCTGATATTTTCATCTTTCATCTCATTTGTTTGTCATTTTTATTGCTTCTTATTCATTTTATTTAATATTTGTTTCTGTTTTTTAGATCATACCTTATTTAATATGACTTTAATGCACTTCTCTTCATGAGATTCAGGAACCAATTAAAAAAAAATTCATGTTTTTTCTTTATATATAATTATTTTACTTTTAATAAGTCAAAAAAATCTCATCAGTTTCAAGAAAATTCAATGATTGTATTTACCAATTATACAAAAATAAAACTAAGAATAAAACTAAAATTTCAGGATTTTTTTAATATAAAATATTAATGACATTAACAAATTAGATAAGTGTTCAAAAGGACAGAGCCTAGACTTTAGTTCACAGAACCAAAGTTGGTGGTGACAAGAGTATTTTTTTAAGTTAGCTAATAGCAATAAACATCAGCCAGTAAGTACTTTTCATTGTCAGTATTGTAATTTTAGCTTTGTAACCCTACTATACAAATAAAAAAAGGAATTTTTTTTTTTTTCAAAATTGATCATATCTAGTTGTAAGAAAAATGCCTTTAAAATATTTTTGTGTTCTCAATTTGAAAATATTTCAACTTGATATTTTATTTTTCATTTTATTATTCATCTTCACTATTGATAGTAACAGTAAAAAATTCTATAAAAATCAGTTATTTATATCAATTACAATGTAGTGAAATATAATTTAGAATATGAAATAAAACTAAATGCTAGCTAAAATTACAGTATTTTATAATTGGTTGTTTCAACAAACTGAGCTTTTTTTGTTTTGTTCTATATAACAAAGAAATAAGTAGCAAATAACTTCTACAGTCATGGTCTTACTCCATATAAATTAATATTCTTTAAATTCTGAGAAACTTACATTTTCAAACTGAACAATAAAACAAGCCAAGTTATTTCTGTTAAAATTTTTAAATGTTTGAACTTTTCTAAAGAATATTTTTTCTAGGCTTTAATGTTTCTGGATGAAATTACAAAAAATAAATTAAAGCACAATTTTTTTTTTTTTTGTGTATGTATGTTTCTGTATAAAAGGGGAATCTCAAATCTTAAAATACTGCAAATCATTACAAAAACCATAGAAAGTGGCTTTTTATTGAAAAATAAATTCATAAAACATAAATCCTGTTTTGTGGAACTCTCTTCCAACTTCTTGCTTTCCATTCATCTTTGATCTTCAAAAATTTAAATACAATGCCAATTGTTATCTTCTCTTTAATTTCTGTTCTTTTTTCTTATATTCTCTCACACTTGCTAACCCCTTGCATTTTAGTGGCTTTATTGCCTTGCTTTGGATGAAATGATTTTGAAAAATATCTTCTAGTAAAATAAATATTAATTTTAATAATGCCCCTTTACCTTTTATAAGAAAAAATAAGGTTTTAAAATCTTACAAATTAAAAACTTACAGTAGTCTATCAGTAGAAAAATGTGATATCTTATAGTTTTAAAGATTATATTGAATTGTTGTAATTTCTCAGCAGCTTCTAGAAACTTGTATTTTCATGCATGTATTCTGCTTTTGCCAAATCCTATCAGTTTACTCGCAACTTTCCATTTTAATGTAACAAATCTCAAGATAATGTTTTTTTACTTTCAATGATACATTATGAAGTAACAATGTCATTAAATACTGTTCATTCTTCAGTAAAAAATAAATTTACATTCAAAAATAGATTTTTATAACCAATTTAAATAAGTTGTCTTGTCTGACTGTTAACTTACTATTTTTACTTTAATGAGTTATGGAATTCTTAGAGTATATGTTACAGTAACATTTTACAATTATTGTAAACCTGAACAGTTTTAACTTGGTATTATTTTTCTCCAGTTTCTTATTTTTTTCTATAACTCTTCAGAATATGGCTTTTCTTTTTTTTTTAAGAAAAAATGTCTCTGATGATTGAAAGTAGTCAAATAAAGACATAAACTGGGGACAGTTTGTATGTGAAACAACATCAAAAGATTTTTTTAAAAATACAATAAAAAAAAAAAAAATCAAATACGGACCTTGGCTGAATTTGATAAAACTTGTAGATTAAAAAGAAAGGATGTATGAAGAAAAATGAATACAAACAATGAGTAACAATAATAATAGTATCTTCTTTAAGAATCAAAACCATGGGTAAAATTACACTGTAGTGTCAAATTGATGTGGAAAAACACATATCAGAGAAATTCGGTCTTCTTGTTTCAAACTTAATATATTTCCATGTAGCTTAATTGGTAATCCTGTAGAATTTTATCTTGAACGTATGTCATTTTACCTGAAAAGGAAAAATTTGAATTTTCTAATATACTACATTACATTTCTGTAAAAAGGATATTAGGCATATGTTTGGTAAGTTTTTTTTTGTTTTTTTTTTGCATGAAAGTTTTTCATTGTCTTTTGCATTCTCTTTTCTTCATTGTAAATCTTCTGGTTGAAGAAGTCTGATAGTTGTTTTCTTATCAGTTGTTCATGAATTTTTTTTTATTCAGGTATCTTTTCTTTTGGCCTTAAGAGTTTTCCTATGCAGACATCTTGCAGCCATAGTTAATAATTGAATGATTGGCTATTGACCAGAGTAACTGTAAGAAATCAAGAACATAGCTATTTAATATACCTGCTAATAAGTAATAAAAAAGGGGTAGCAGAGTTAAGGATGATTCAATATTAAGCTGAAATATTGGAAAGAGTATTAAAATTGAAATAACAAGAGAGGAACAATGAAAGTTCTCATTGCCTTTTTTTGTTGACTTCAATTTCTTGGTGAAAAACTTAGTAATATAAACAAAAACATCCCAAGATATGAGGTTGCTTACAAGTTTAGTTCCCAATTAGCAAAGAAAAATTTGATTCCTATGCCAAACACTCTCTACTTACTCTCTTATTACTGGAACATTGATCCTCTTGTACAATAAATAAGGAATACTTTATGGCTAGAAAAATACATAAACAAAATACATTTTTACTTTTACTGAGATAGTATTTATGCACCAATAAGTAAAATTGTAGATGTACATGATTTTTGACAGTTATGTGAAACATGTATTGATTTCCACTTTGTGTCTTTGACTTCTACGTCTTATATATACCTGGTTAAGACTTCAGTTACAGTCTACCAGTTCATACTACATAATATGTTTATATATATATATATATATATATATATATACACACACACACACACAGAAGTTTGGACCACACAACACTTAAAACTACATCCTACAATCCAAAATGTATTTTAGCTTTAAGTAGCCCACAAAGGGTTGATCAGCCATAAGAAAACCAAATCAATTTATCCCTTTGGCAATCTAGGATAATGCAAGCTACACTTTTGCAATAATCCACAATGTTTCTAAAATTTCCTTTCGATATCCTGTTATATTACCTAACTTATTGTGAGTATAGTTTGGTGGTTATAGCATTAACCTAAAGATTTTTAATGTTGCTGAATAGATCAGTTTTGTTAAGAAAAACTTCTATTTTTAGATGGGGTAACAAATTATTTTCCCATAGACTATTTTTATAACTTTTTCATCTATCAGAATCTGACTGAGAAATGCTCAATAAAAAAAATAACTATTTTTTTTCTGTTAAGTGGATGATTTTTTATTTGTTCTTTGTAGGCCTCCACTGAGTGAGGAAAGTAAGCATTCTGATAAAAACATGGTATCAAGCATCAACAGCATCTCTTCTGAGGCTCTCAGTGATAAAATTGGCCGACAGACTCCAGTAAGTAAATGCTAGTATCATTTCATTATTTAAAAAAAATTAATTAGCTATATCTTTATTTTAATTAAAAAAAAAAAAAAAAAAAAAAAGATTTTTCAGAATAAGGGATGCATACCAGTATATCTAATAGTGGAATACAATATACAGTTCAGTAGCACCTCCCCTCCCACCATATTTCACACAATGACATGGCCCTCAATGTTAACTTTTAAATCAGATATGCAATAAATTTCATAAGAGACACACTGTCTTTGTGTTTCTTTTTCTTCTTCTCCTCCTATCTTTCATTTTTCTTTCTACTATCTGGACTAAGTCTTATTTTGGCTGAGAGGGCAGGAAAGGAATTTGGGGTTGCTTGACAACAAACAGAATTACCTCCTAAGAAATGGTAAGAAAAGTATTTGGGATTGTTTTGCAACAAACAGAATGACCTAAGAAAGTGAGTAAGACTTGGTCACCTATGTTTATGTGACCTACCTCACAGAGTGGGATTTTGGTATTGTAATTTTAATTTCCTGATGACCAACAACAACAGTTTGTGAAAAAAATACTCTCTAGTCATGCAATCATAAAGGATGAGAAATACACTCACAAGCCTATTTCATTACTTGTGTAGGGAATAAGGAACTTTCATCCCAGAGATCTTGGGTCTATTTGATTATTTGATGGATAAAGAATAAAGGAATATTGTACCCAAATAAATACAAAGGAAACATCTTGCTTTCATCTTGGAGGCAATCCAAGTAACTAAGGGAAAACAGAACACAAATATTATTCCTGAATTGTATATTTCATATTGTGGAAGAAGGAACAACCAACTTTTGTGAACATTCGAACACCAAATTCCTGAAACACAAATGTTTGAACTGACATCCAGTATCAGTTAAGTCTTCTTTTATTAATTGTGTATCTGTCATCATATATTTTTCCCATATTTTATATTTTGTTATATAAAATTTATTTACAGATTTTAATATTGCGTTTGTTGTTCATTGGTACCTATTCATGTGTTCCTATCTGAGTGAATGCACCCCTTTTTTTTTTTTTTTTTTTTTTAACCTGGGGATTCATACCTTTATTGCTAATTTGTAACATCAATTACTTGCTTTTATTACAGGAACTAAATGCATATATGGATATTGGATTATTAGTCAAAAGTATTTTGAAAATATTTACTTTTCTTAAAAAATAATTATCAGGCATGATTTTCTATATTGGTTTTAAATGAAACCAACTTAAAAAATAGTTTGTAGGATAAAAATTTTAGAAATCAAATAAATTTGCACATGATGTTAGGTGAGATATTTAATTGCCTCCATTTTTTTTTTTTTTTTTTTTTTTTTTGTTTTGTGTTTCATTAAATCTGTCATGGTGATGTATGCTTTTAATCTTTTGTCATGTTCCCTATTTTTCTTTATTTGATAGGCGGACAGAAAAGATGTGGTTGCAGCTGACTGTGAGACACACTCCATGGAACGAGGCGAGTACTTAAAGTTGTATGAGCAAGCTGAGCAGGAATGCGAGTCGGACTACTTACGCACTTGTTCACAGACTACTGCATCTTCTGACAACTTTCTAGAAGATTCCACGTCGTGCTCTGACCCTGATGAAGCAGAACCTGAGCTAGACTATGATGTGGAAGGTGGGTGGGATTTGCAGGGGGACCAATTTACTATTATCCAAATTTTCAATTCCAAATTCACATAGTCGCAACAAAAGTTATTTTATTTTTCCTTCTTGTCTTAGAAAAGTTAATCCATCCTTAATTTTAAATCTCCATTTGTTTTTTCCCTTAATATTGTGTTACCATTATTATTTAGTTCCATATCTGTGATTACTACTGCTTATTACATTACCTTCCTTGCTGCTAATGTCACAATTTCAATCATCCAATAATCACCTGCTACTGTCTATTTGCACTCACATCTGATTCTTTTTTTTTTTTTCTTTCCAATCACAAATCTTAAGATGTTTCCCACTGTGGAAATAAATTCCTATAACCAAACATCATGTTTGTCTATATAATTATTAATTTTAGAAGATTAACAAATGTTTGCTTCAAGATAGTTTCAAACAGTATCTTTTTTTTTTTTTTTTTTTTTTTTTTTTTTTTTTTCCTTGTCTGTTTCATCCTCTTGTGAGCTTTAGCACAATTCAACTGGATATGAAGCTGAATTCTGTATCTCTTAGAATAAGACACTTGTAGTTGTAATTTGAAATTTTATAATAGGTGTGACTAAAATCAAAAAAACAATTTTAGAACAATTGATAATAATAAAATGAATAGTTATGAGAAGGATTTCCTCTTAAAGGGCTCAAGATAACAGAGATGTCAGTAATGGAAAAGTGCCAAGTGAGATTAGGCTCCATGTTCTGTGTCAGCTTACAAACAACATTGATTGGTTTGCTGATTGATTCATTGCTATAGAATTGTGCTCACACAACAAATGGTTCTTATTTTTTCTTTCTCTGCTTTGATAACAAATTAAAGCTAGGCTCATTTAGATGCTAGTTCTAAATCTGTTTTATTATATAATTTAAAAATTATATGCTGAAATTTTTTTTTATTGGGTTCTTTTGTACCAGCCATCTCATCTTTAACAAAACAAGAAATTAACTGGGAATAAAAATAGGAATAACAAAATCCTCATTTTATGAGGGGTGCTGAAAAACTCTTAGCCCAAATCTCATAAATGTCTATCAAAATAAACAAACATAAATTTTTTTTATTTATTTTTTTTTTTTCATGGGTTTCTTGCTAGGACAAAGGATTTTTCAGCACTGCCTCATAATTTTGTCAGAATGAAATAGCAGTTAAGAACTAGTGGAAAATTGGTTGATATACAAGAAAAAAAATTAAATAAAAAATTTAACATAAATCTGATTAATTTAAATGAAAAAATTATTTAAAGTAATGTTCATAGCTTATATGCAGTCTAATAGTAAAAGAAATATTTGACTAACCAACACAATCTTTTTCAATTTTTTTTTTACCTTTTCTTTATATTTTCTGTATATGTTTTGTATATCAGCCAATCCCCCCTCTCTCTCTCTCTATGCGTGCGCGCTCTCTCTCAATGCGCGCGCTTTACATCTCTCTGACCCTCATCATCACATGCACTCTTTCTCTCTGAACCTTGTTATCACATGCAAGCTTGCTCTCGCTCGATCTCTTCCTCTAATCCTCATCATAACCTGCATTCTCTCTTTTTCTCTCTCTGTCTCTCATCCTCATCGGCATTCTCTGTCTCTCATCCTCATCGGCATTCTCTGTCTCTCATCCTCATCGGCATTCTCTGTCTCTCATCCTCATCGGCATTCTCTGTCTCTCATCCTCATCGGCATTCTCTGTCTCTCATCCTCATCGGCATTCTCTGTCTCTCATCCTCATCGGCATTCTCTGTCTCTCATCCTCATCGGCATTCTCTGTCTCTGTCTCTCTCTCTCTAATCCTCACCTGCATTCTCTCTCTCTCTAATCCTCACCTGCATTCTCTCTCTCTCTCATCATCACCTGCATTCTCTCTCTCTCTCATCATCACCTGCATTCTCTCTCTTTCTCTTCTCTTCTTCACACACACGTACACAAACTGTCCCGTTTCCTTTCCACACTCACACACTTTCTCTCTCTATCTATTCTCTTCTCTCTCACACATATACAAACACTTACTCCCACTCTTCATTTTCCTTCTCTCACACACTCTTTCTCTGTCTCTGTCTCTCTCTCTCTCTCTACTGTGAGAAATCCCTATTTTTATTCTTTATAAAATTTCTTATTAATGATGATAATTTTTTTAGTTTCATATATTATAGAATCATTATTTTAAAACTCATCCTTAGGTCAGAATTATAATTTTATCAATATCTATTTTCCTTTTAAAAAAAAAAAAAATAATATGGCCATAAGCTTTGCTTTTTCTAGTAAATAAATTTTCTAATTCTACCTTTTTATATCATTTATTCTTGCTCTTATCCAACTAACACAATTCATAGCCATTTTCTAGTTGTCAGCCAACCTTGAATGTTGCAGCATATTTTTTCTCTTGTTCTTGCTCAAATTTTTGAATGTCTACCAGTGCCAGTCTGATGCTACCCTAAACAAGCATTCATACTGCACTAATAATTTTTGACTTGTTTGCTTATTTCATTTGGATATTTTTGCTTGCATTCTAATTTCTTTTTCCCTCTGTTTGTTATCAGTTTGTTAACTTCATATTTCAGTGAAATTAGGAAATGTACAATATTAGCTGTAGGCCATTAATCATCCATTCCAGAGCAGCAAGTGAGCAAGTTTTCTTACAAGCTGTTGATTGGGCCACAAATATTATCAAACCTCATTGCTATCCCTCACCCAAACATCCAACCCTTGTCCACCTTGTTTGCAGCTTCAAAATGGAATATGCTTTCTTTATTAAACTTTATAAGACCTCAATTGGCATTAATGCTTTCTTCAAGGTTTTTGTAACTGAAAGATTTCACCTTTTTTGAGTTTCAAATACTCTCTGCCCATATTCAGATTGCTATAAAAAAAAAGTTACATAGCTACTAAGCTTTTAATATTTATAGTTTTTATACTACAAAAAATATTTTAAACTTTTCTATTTCTTTTTAAAATATTAAGAAAAAAAATTTAAAAAAGTAAAGCTTTATTGAAAGACAAAAAGTTACAAAAATGCTGAAGGGTGTACGAATCAATGCAAATTTTTGCCCCTAAGTGTCCATCTGGGCTTGTTATTAAGTACCAATCCAGACGGAAGCTTGTGTTGTTCATCACACTGTGCCCTTTGTGCTACACAAGGCCTCTCACTCACTCTGGTCACTTGATGCTGGGAGCTGGATGAATGTTGTACATGTGTTTAGTGCGTGCCACACATCAGGTAGGGTAAGTATGTTTTGTGTTGTTTTCTCCTATAATTACTGCCTTTCTTAGTCTTTCTCCAATGAACAACAAAAAAAGAAAAAGTAAATATTTAGCTTAATGCAGTATTCTCAATTAGAACAGTTGCAGTCAATTTTTACCAAATGCCTGTATTACCCATATTACGGTCATAGATATATGTAATTTTTACTTTTAACAACTTGATTTATTACCTCAGTTCTCATTGTGATTCTTTATAATTGATAGCAAAGGAACAGTTTGAAATCCTTCATTGTCTCATATTATCTTTTAGCTTTGTTTTACATGGGGAAGTTTGTCAGCTCTAGAATTTTTAACTTTTGTTCATTGCATTATTGATTGCTCTTCTAGTTCTTATCAATGTTTCTAATGTGCATAAAGGGCAGAAGCAAATGTTGGATCTTTTTGTGTGTATTTAGCATTTCTAGATTTTCTAATCTTAACTGCGTTGTTCTATTATAATTTTAATGTAACTGGCTAGTTACTTTGTCAGCCATTTTTAATGTTTCTTGACAGTCTTTATCAAAGTTTGTTACTTTTTAATGACCCAAACATTATCAGCTTTTATCTTGATTAATGTTAATAGTTGTTACTATAGGATTTCATTCTACTTCCTTGTGCACATTGGGATTATAAAATGTATTGGTGAATAATAGATTTATGTTCAGTAATTTGTTACTGGTTTAATAATGTAGTTTATTTTCTATAAAATTGCAATGACTAGGTTATATATTTAACATCTTATTTTAGTCTAGATTAAATAGGTCTTTGATAAATATTTTTATTCTTATGGTTTTAGTGGGTTGATTTTTTTTCTCCCCAATTAAAACTGGGTAAGCCTTTTTTTTTTTTTTTTTTTCTATTCGAAAAATAGGACTTACGTTCTGCTTTGCTACATTTTTCTTTTTGTTAGTGTTCAACAAACAATTTTTTTTCTTTTTATGCTAAATCAAATGTTATCAAAAGAGGCAATTCTCTTCTGAAGTTTTTTTTTTCCCTTTTCTTTTTAATCTTCAATAAGTACACAGTAATTTAAATTGAAAGGATATGCTTTCAATGTCATTACTGTATTATTACTGTATACCTGTACATATTACTTTAGCTTACCATTTCGGTGATTTCCTTGTAAATTTCAGTTGCCCTAGAAATGCTTTTTACTCATTCATGTTGACATAAGTCCTTTCAATCTGTATTGCAGGGAGTGCTGAAGAAGACAGTCAAGATAGTCCCAGCTCTTGTTAAACAATTCTCCAACGTAAGCAAACTTGCTGGTTTGTTTGCTTCCCTGCATCAGGCTCATTGTTCAAGAAGCCCAACTCATTGAATGATGCACCCCAGAGTAGCATGTGTTGCTATTCTAGCTTCAGGGCTACACCACGCATGTTTGTGATGAATGGACCAGAAATGGGACTTTTGCTATTAATATTATTATTAATAATAATAAAAATACAATTTGTTGTGTCTACTGGAAATCTGTTCTTTTTGCTTATTTCCCCAGAAAATCCTAAAATTGTGCATCCTGCATGATTCGTATCTCTGGCCTCCCTCTTTCTGTCTCATTTTTTTTTTATTTTTATTTTAAGTTTTTTCATTACTTTTTTTTTTTCTCCGTTATTAGATTGGACTTTTTTCTTTTTATTATGTTAGCAGTCAGTAATGTTCACTACTGCCAAGTGTCTGGCTTTTTGAGCACTAATTTCTCTTGGTGTTCAATTCTTGTCAGACAGATAAATAGGGAGGGGATTTTACCTATATTTTGTCTTTCTAAGCAATTACTTTTGATAGATTTCAAATTGTAACTTTCAAATATTATATCCATCTAGATTTGTGAATATTTCAGGGCAGTGCAATAACCAACTGGATTTTCTTAATGATTTTTTTTTTTTTTTTTCAGAAGTTATTTGCTTTTGTTGGTGAAAATTGAACTTGTCATAAAAGATTGACATCATTAAATTAAACAATTCTAAACTTATTTTTTCTTAAATGTATTAATTTATACTACTTAAATCTTACGATTTGTTAACAAATATTAGGCATCATTTGTGCAAACATTACCTGTTATTTTTTCACCGTTGTAATTTTCTATTTTTAACCACATATCCAGGTAAAAATATTTTAGGTTCATATTGATTATCATGATACTATAAACATTAACCTAGAAAAGTTTTACAGTTAATGCTAACTTCAACAATCTTCAGAGATTATATTTTTTTTTTCTTAATCACATTTGTTTCTTTACTTTAATAGTTACTTTCAGGTTAATTTTAGATGGGATTTTTTTTCAAATTTTTGCATTTTTATATTATTAATTTTAATCAATAATAGATTTTCCTAAAGAGGCAAGTTTTATTTCTCATCAAATTCATTTGATGTTGAATATCCTCTTTGAAAGATTCAATCCTAGTATAGCTAACTCTGTCAAACAGTTATTTAAATAAACTTTGATGCCCTCCAAATATTTTAATATAAAATGTCAGTTCATCTGCCTTTTTATTTTCTTACGGTTTTGCAGTATTGAGTTGTCTGAATTTAGAATATGTTGTCGTTTTCTGTACTTCTCCCTGTTTTGTCTATTGACTGCTGTGTGGTGCATGTCTATTCAGTCAGTGTTCATTATTAAAGTAAACATCTTGTGATATCACTTGCTTTATGGAATGGTTCTCATGTAATGCATGTATCAATACTATGATTCTTTAAACATTTTGTGCTAACTGTATATCTTTTGAGATGATAGAAGACTAAATTATTTGACTTTGGTCTTTAGTTTTAAGCAGAAATTTAAAAGCATGTGTTAAAAGTTGTCTATCAGGTTACTGATTTGGGAAATTACTTTAGGTATAAAAAAAAAAAAAAATTATATACATGTATAATTCTTGAAATTTTAAAATTTGCAATATCTAATGAATTCCTATACTTTTATTTGGTATTTATTTCTAGACTGTCAGATTTTATTATGCAATATTTTCACAAAATTGGTAATAAATTGATGTTGGTAATGTTTTCAGAATATATTTATGATAAATATATCATAGGAATTTCAGCTTGTTTTTATTAGGAATATTTATAATAATGTATTTGCTGTTGTGATTTTACATAACTTTTATATATATTTATATATATATATATATATATATATATATATATATATATTTTATAATTAATTTTTTTCAATTTTAGATATATAAAGAATGCCATGGGTTGTAAGAAACAAACTACTCCAAAAAATATAAAGTTAAGTGATCTGAACACAATGTTGCAAAAAAAAAAAAAAAAGTAAGTAGAACAAACATTAGAAAATTTGAGTGGTAGGTGGGAGGAGAAAAAGAAGTAATAAGCAAGAAAAGTTGTTTTACCACCTAGAAAATATTTAATGAAGCTGTTAATGTAAATTAAGAAAAACTAGAGACCTGAAAGCAACAAAAGTAAAATCCTTTTCAACAAACATCACAAAGAGAAAAATGTAAATTGGGTGAAAGAAATGAAAAAATTATTCAATAGTAATTTTGGGCGATTAATAATTGACCTGATGGCTAGAATAGAAGTTAGTTTCTTCATGGGAATAGGCAACCAACATGACTTAAA